TGCGATCAGGTCACTTAGCCAAGACTGCCTCGCCCCTTTTATTCTCCCTCCCTGCCCCCACCTGTCCCTCCCAGATAAAAGCTAGAAGAAATTGGCTTGTGGGTCTCCTTTTGGAAAGGAGTCTGAGGGAGTCAGAGCTGGGTTGGGGGGAAGGCTAACTCATTGAGAGATCACAAGAGGATAAGAGCAGCTTGGGGGCTTTACATCAATATGGACACCTGTGTACAGCCAGGCAGCTCAGTGCACTGGGTTGAGTCACAGCCTTTGAATCTGGGAGCTTGACACCATACTCCCTAAAGATTTTGACACTGTTTATTGAGAGGCTGGGTCTAGGTTATCTCCTTGAATATGGGCTCTGTGATGCTTGACTAATAGAAGATGATAGAAATGACGCCGTGCTAGGTAGTGGGCCCAGATTTTAAGGAAACTGGCAGTTTCCATTTCCTATCTCTTCTTGTACTTGGGTTCATGCTTAGAACCCAGTCACCATTCTGTGAGCAAGCCCAGCAGCCGAAGGAAAAGGCCGTGTGTAGGTGTTCCTGCCAGCAGCCCTCACCGAGGTCCCAGCCAACATCCATGTTGGCTGCCAGACTCAGTCCAGACGGGAATCAGATGATTCCAACTTCCCCTGTTTTTCAATTTTCCCAGCTGAGGTCCAGGCATCAGGGAGCGGAGACAGCCCATCTTTTTTGTGCACTTTCCAAATTCCTGACCATGAGCCCATGAACATGATAAGATGGTGGTTTACACCACTCAGTCTGGAGGGGTTTGTTATGTAGCCATAGCAACTGGAACAGGGCCTTAAAGTCACAAGACTCCCAACATTTGGACATTTATATCAGTTTTTTAAAAATTTTAAGTTATATAAACATACTACTTCTATATTATACACATTTAAAATGTAACAGATGAGTTGATGAAATAAGTGTTTTAAAATATTTCATTGGTTAACAGTGCAAAATACCTTTTTGCTCTTAAAAAAGGGTTTAGTGAGAGCAAAGTGAGAAACATTTTTTAAAATCATGGTTCAACGTTTTCTGAAGTTCAGTTGAAAGTTTAGTTTAGGGCTGGGTGCGGTGGCTCATGCCTGTAATCCTAGCACTTTGGGAGGCCAAGGTGGGCAGATCACGAGGTCAAAAGATTGAGACCATCCTGACCAACATGGTGAAACCCCGTCTCTACTAAAAATACAACAAAATTAGCTGGGCGTGGTGGCGTGCACCTGTAGTCCCAGCTACTCGGGAGGCTGAGACAGGAGAATCACTTGAACCCGGGAGACGGAGGTTGCAGTGAACCGAGATTGCGCCACTGCACTCCAGCCTGGCGACTGAGCGAGACTCCGTTTCAAAAAAAAAAAGTTGTTTATTCTGATATTAATTTTAATGACCTTCATAACTTCCAGGAGTACCTCTCAAAAACAGGCAAATCCAAGTGGATTAGGTTCCTCTTTGCTGTTAATTGCTTTTTAAATAGATCCAAACCCACTGAAAATCTTCATCTGGAAGACTTGTGAACAGGTCAGAGGATGATTTCCCAGTGCAGACAACAGTGCCCTCATGAGAATAGGCATTGTTTGGGAGCACAAAACCTGAAGTGCATGAGCTGCGGTGTGTGGTGATGGGCTGGGGGTTTGCCTCTCTTCCCGATCGTATTCCAGGGCAATCATGACTTACAATGTTTTTATCTACACTTGATCTTGGCCAAAAGGCCAAGAAGCGATACTATATTTTTGTCTTAAAAGATTAGAATTTTTCTTTATTTCTGCTGCACAACATCTGTGGATATTTTTTGTGCACGCCCCCACCTTGACATGCTCAGCTGTGAAGGGTTCATGACAGCGAGCCCCCTGCCGGCCGGCTGGGACAGCCCAGGGCTCCGGCTTCTCAGCAGCATCTCCCACTGGCCAGGCCCAGGCCAGGCTGGACCGAGCTGAGGCTAGCTCAGGTAGCAGGCACGGAGGCCTTTGCCCAGCCTGACAAGTGATGCAGAGCAGTGTTTTTCAGGGTCTGGCACTGTAGGGTCCAGCCCTACTGGGTCTGTGGGTTTTTTTCCTCATGTGTGGAGTCAAGAGACTGTAGAAATGAAGACACAAGACAAAGAGATAGAAAAGACAGCTGGGCCCAGGGGACCACTACCACTTAGATGCGGAGACCAGTAGTGGCCCTGAATGCCTGACCGCGCTGCTATTTATTGTATACAAGGCAAAAGGGGCAGGGTAAGGAGTGTGAGTCATCTCCAGTGATTGATAAGGTCATGTGAGTCACGTGTTCACCGGACAGGGGGCCTTTCCCTTTTAGGTAGCCGAGGCAGAGAGAGAGAGGACAGCTTACGTCGTTATTTCTTCTATGCTTCAGAAAGATCAAAGACTTTAATACTTTCACTAATTCTGCTACTATCTAGAAGGTGGAGCCAGGTGTACAGAGCGGAACATGAAAGTGAAACAGGAGCGTGACTGCTGAAGCACAGCATCCCAGGGAAACGGTTAGGCCTCCGGATGACTGTGGGCGGGCCTGACTGTCAGGCCTTCCACAAGAGGTGGTGGTACAGTCTTCTCTAACTCCCCCTGGGAAAGGGAGACTCCCTTTCCCGGTCTGCTACCCCTAGACCAAGGTCTGCTAAGTAACAGGTGCCTTCCCAGGCACTGGCGTTACCACTAGACCAGGGAGCCCTCTAGTGGCCTTGTCTGGGCATGACAGAGAGCTCACACTCTGGTCTTCTAGTCACTTCTCACTGTGTCCCTTCAGCTCCTATCTCTGTATGGCCTGGTTTTTCCTAGGTTATGATTGTAGAAAAAAGATTATTATAATATTGGAATAAAGAGTAATGCTATAAACTAATGGTTAGTGATATTCATATATAATCATATCTATATTTCTAGTATAACTATTCTTATTCTGTATATTTTCTTTATTATACTGGAACAGCTTGTGCCCTTGGTCTCTTGCCTTGGCAGCTGGGTGGCTTGCCTCCCACATGGCACCGCTGGGCATTGTCTGTTAATATCGAATAATTGTTTTAAGATTACTTTTAATGATTTTCAATAAGGCTTTACCTTTTTTAACTTGCACTGTGGCCATGAGCTCTGCCGGAAGTGACTTATTGGTGTTGTCTCCTGAGTTATAAGTGAAGAGATTTTTTTTTTTTCAGATTACTGAGAGTCTTCAGTTACTAGATAAGTCGCCCCATCCTTGTAACTCCAGGTGACACTGGGGTTTATGGGATGAAAGAGGAATGTGTGCTTGGATGATAGGGTGTGATAGTGAAGGGGTGAACGGTTTCTTCTCACACATAGACATCGTGAGGTCTTCCTTGAGCTCTTTAGAGCCTTCCCTCCGGATAGGATGAAATACTGAGATCCTAGAAAGGATTCACAAAACGAGTCACTCATCAGGTCAGATTCACCAATTACCCCTAGATGTATGTGGGATTTGGATGTCAGAGAGAAACAGGCACTGAAGATTTTTGGTCAGGATGGGGCAGAGAAATAAGGAGAAGAGCTGAAAACTCACCAAAGGATAGATAAACCCGGGGCGTTTAGAGAAGACCTGTAGGGTGCAAAGGAGACCAGAATCCTGGGGAAACTTGAAGGGAAATATACTTAATTTGATTCAGTAAGTTAGGCCCAGTGAAGGGATTGGGTGGCATAGGTAGAAGCCGAAAAATAAAGCATCTTGTATTGCTGGAGTAGCCTCTGTCTCTGAGGTCACATCCGAACTTAGCAAGTCAGCTTAACCTGGTGAGAGACATGGGTTCAACTCCTGGCTTCTGCACTGCCAGGGCAGAAAGGATGACTGCCGTTTGCTGACACAATCTTGCAGTTCAATTTTATTTTTTTAACCAAGGTGTGGGAGAAGGCAGCTCCGCATAATGCTGAATATTATGGGTTCTGAAGTGAAAATTTTTGTCAGGGTTTAAATTTTGGCTTCACTGTGTAAGTAGCCTTTCCACCCTGAGCAAGTTATTTCCCACATAAAGTGATTGTTAAGTATGGAACTGATGTATGTGCATCACTGAGAATGGGTTTAGCACATAGTATCCACTGAAGACACTACCTCACATTAGCTGTATTACTGTGATAAAGGGTAAGCTGTAATTAAAGTTACAGAGGAACAAAAGTGGCCCTTTTCACAACATTAAAACATACATGTAAAAATAAATGCAGCAGTCACAAGTCTTACTCTACAAACTCAGATGAGCAGAAACAACTTTATTTTTCCTCTAATTTCAAGCTCTTTTTCTGCCCAGCTGCTGAGAAAATTTAACTCCTGAGTCTTCTTGGCTTCCTTCCTTTTCCCTAAGGTTGTGTCAAGTGCCAAAGCATTTAGGGGATGAGGAGGCCTCTAGTCCTCTGTCAAAAATATTTTGGATTTTTATAGCCATTTCCCTTTCTCTGTGGTGAGACTAGGCCCTCCAGGACCCTGTGTTTTGGCCCCAGGAATTGAGGCCATCCAAATCAGCTGCTTGGGTTCCTATCTGCAGTGGGCCCCATGGGCCTACAGAAGAACAGGGGCTGCTCAGGGCTGAGCTGTTTGCTGCACAGAACCAAGGCTAGGATGGAGGAGCTCGGATTCTTCCAGTGGAAGCAGTTATAGGACTGAGACAGCCACCCCTGAAGAGGGGACATTGACATCCAGTTGATCTAGGCTCACTGCAAGCTCTGCCTCCCGGGTTCACGCCATTCTCCTGCCTCAGCCTCCTGAGTAGCTGGGACTACAGGTGCCCGCCACCACACCCGGCTAATTTTTTGTATTTTTAGTAGAGACGGGGTTTCACCATGTTAGCCAGGCGCGAACCCGGGAGGCGGAGCTTGCAGTGAGTCTAGATCGCACCACTGCACTGCATCCTGGGCGACAGAGCAAGACTCTGTCTCAAAAAAAAAAAAAAAAAAAAGTTACTATGTGCACACATGTGCACAAGTCATATAAAATATATAAAAAAAGAAACAGCCAGATGGTTGACACTTTTTATAACCATCTTGAAATTACAGAAATAATGGGAGGCCCGGAGCACAGCAAAACAGGTTAAAGGAAGGGGAGAGGAGAGACTTGGCTAGCAAAGGTCTTGTTCTGCAGGTGACACCTCACAGCTGGTGCTCTGCGGAGCCTGTGGTAAGCAAGTCCTTCAGACCCTTAAAGGGGTCCCGCCTCTCAGTTTGTCTTTCCTAGATCCAGACATGGAGACTGCAGAGAAAGGCTGTGTGCATCTGCTGTCTATTCCACCGTCTCCTCTGCAGAGGCGGATTTTCCTGACTGAAGACCACGTTGCAGGCCCACAGCTGCCTACAAGCCCTCTGGGCAACCATCCCAAAATATGGCTAAGAAGCCTATTCTGAGGTTAAACATTTTTGGTTTCTTTCAGTGAGAGGCAAGGGTCTTTCAGACTAGGGAGGTAGATATGCAGCAGCCTCAGGTGCCCTAGGTGCTTTGCAGCTATGCTGGCCAGGGCACCCGAGGTAGGTCCCCTCTGCACCAGTCTCACACCCTGCCTGGGGGACGGTAGTGGAGAAAGCGGTAAAAGCAGGTCTGAGGCAGGTGTGGAGATCAGTACAGGTGGCCTGGGCAAAGGGCAAAGGGTTAAAAGAATGTTGGGAGCCATGGGTGACTGGCTGCATAGGTACCATGAAGACCACTATGGGCTGCAGGGTGTGGATGAGGGGACAGTTTGCCCCAGAGACCAAACCTGGTTTGTGTCAAACATCACAGGATTCTTATTTTGTATTTTTTTAATTTTTAATTTTTTTTTTTTTTTTTTTTTTGAGATAGGGTCTCACTCTTGCCCATGCTGGAGTGTTGTGGCATGATCTTGGCTCACGGCAACCTCTCCGCCTCCCAGGCTCAAGTGATCCTTCCGCCTCAGCCTCCCGAGTAACTGAGACTACAGGCGAAAGCCACCACACCCAGCTAATGTTTATTTTTTGTAGAGGCAGGGTCTCACTGTGTTGCCCAGGCTGGTCTCAAACTCCAGGGCTCAAGTGATCCACCCACCTCAGCCTCCCAAAGTGCTGGGATTATAGTCATGAGCCACCACATCCAGCCAGCACCACAGGATTAAGCAGACATGATGAGTCTTTGACACGGGCAAACCAGGGCCCAGAGAGGTGACTTGGGATAGGGCTGTCTCTTCAGTCCTTACCACACTGTGGACAAGATCAACCTTAAGACAGTACCCTGGGCTCTCACTGGACCCTGCATTCCGGCTCACAGCACACAAAGCAAACTGATCCCTGGAAAGGGTTACCTGTTGCTGCCTAGCAGCATTCTGGTCAGTTTGCATCCTTGAAGTGACATAAGCAGGGAACCAATTCAGAGCAACGTTTATTTATCAAGACAGGGTTTCACTCTGTCACCCAGGCTGGAGTGCAGTGGTGCAATCACGGTTCACTGCAACTTCTGCCTCCTGGGCTTAAGCGATCCTTCGACCTCAGCCTCCCAGATAGTTGAGACTACAGGTGCCTGCCACCACGCCTGGCTAATTTTTTATTTCTTTTTTTGATAGAGATAAAGTCTCACCATGTTGCCCAGGCTGGTCTTGAACTCCCGGACTCATCCTAAAGTGCTGGCCTCTCATTCCCTGTCTGTGCACACCTCACGGCAAGGGCCAGCCCGTTTCCTCCTGGTCACCTCCAAATCTTGCTGCTTTTAATTCAACTCAGAGGTATGCACGTGAGGTAGGAGGGCAGGGGAGGTGGGGATGGCAGGACATGGATGGTCCTTGAGGCGTCGACTCTGGGTGTCATGGGCTGTGAGAATCAAGAAGGGCAGTGGCCTGCCTAACTTGGGTTCAGAAGTGTCACTCTGGCCACTGCGGTGAGAACTGAAACCAGCCAGGCCAATTCTCCATTGTTTCTGCTCTTCCAGGCAGGAGAATATTAGGCCTGGAGTCAGAAGGTAGCAGTGGCTGGGGATTGTCGGGGGGTGGTGGGAAGAAGTGGTCCTTTGGTCAGGGTGGGAAGCCAACAGGATTTCCTGGTGCATTGGAGGTGAAAGCGAAGAGGCACTGGTGGCTGTGGTTTGGTCTTGAGCAGCCAGAAGCCAGTTGCCATCACCTATGACAAGGGAGACGGCACCTGGAGCAGAGCCCAGTATGGGGTGCGTTCAGGGTAGATCAGGAGGTATGAGTGGGCAGTGGGCAAGTCAGGCTGGGGGTTGTCGGGGAGGCCTGGGTTGCAGGTGTAAGCGTGGGACCCACGTCAGATTGGTGGCGGGTCACGCACACTGGGCTGGCTTTCAGGTCCTCCTTGCTGGCTTCCCGCTCCCAGGGACTTTCTCCTCCCAGATTCCTTAGCTGGGTAAGGGGTGGGACAGAGCCCTTTCCTAGGGAAGCCCAGCATCCCTTGCTGTCCAGGGAAGGGGGAGTCCTTCCAGACCCTGGCAGCTACTCCGCCCCTTCTCTGGCCTCCCCAGGCCTAGCCAGGGCTGGGTTCTCACCCACCTGTGCCACCCTGCCTTGTTACCCGGAAGCACAGCCTTGGGGACTGAGCGGGCCCTCACTGTCACTTTAAGAAGGGAATCAGCCACCTTGTGTTCACCACCTCTGGGGAAGGTGTGAGAGGGGAGAAGGAAGTGGCTGTTTGGCTGCTGACAACATGAAGACTTCCTGCGATGAGAACAGAGGCACAGGTGCCGGCCCTGCAGTCCCCAGAACCCGGACTGGAGGGGGCCATGGGGCGCCGGACCCTGGCCCTGCCCTGGGTGCTGCTGACCCTGTGTGTCACTGCGGGTAAGTGCCGGCACCAGAGAGGGGCAGGGGCTGCAGGGAGGGCGATGTAGGACAACAGCCCACCAACCTTGCTGCTGTTCCACAGGGACCCCGGAGGTGTGGGTGCAAGTTCAGATGGAGGCCACTGAGCTCTCGTCCTTCACTGTCCATTGTGGGTTCCTGGGGCCTGGCTCCATCTCCCTGGTGACTGTGAGCTGGGGAGGCCCCGATGGTGCTGGGGGGACCAAGCTGGCTGTGTTGCACCCAGAACTTGGCACCCGGCAATGGGCCCCTGCTCGCCAGGCCCGCTGGGAAACCCAGAGCAGCATCTTTCTCGCCCTGGAAGACTCTGGGGCCAGCAGCCCCTTCGCCAACACCACCTTCTGCTGCAAGTTTGCTTCCTTCCCTGAAGGCTCCTGGGAGTCCTGTGGGAGCCTCCCGCCCAGCTCAGACCCAGGTGGGGCCAGGGCGAGGAGCCCAGGAGGGCAGGGAGGGGCTTGGGCACTGGCCACCGATCTGATTCTTGTCTCTGTGCCCAGGGCTCTCTGCCCCGCCAACTCCTGTCCCCATTCTGCGGGCAGATCTGGCCGGGATCTTGGGGCTCTCAGGAGTCCTCCTCTTTGGCTGTGGATACCTCCTTCACCTGCTGCGCCGACAGAAGCACCGGTGAGATCTGGGCCCTGTTCACATCCCCCTGACACTGGGCTGGCCACATGCCCTGCAGAGCTCTGACCATCCTCGCTCTCTCCCAGCCCTACCCCTAGGCTACAGCCATCCCACACCAACTCCCAGGCACTGACAGCACAAGCATGGGTGAGGAGGGGGGCTGCTTTGGGGACGAGGTGGCAGGGGAAGGGGGGCCAGGGCTGGACCCAAGCTGTACAGACTCACTTGACCCTCCTTCCCCCGTGCAGGCGCCCAGCCAGGCCTCCCAGGCTGCTCTCCACGACCCTTATGCCACTATCAACACCAGCTTCTGCCCAGCTACTTTGGACACGGCTCACCCCAACGGGTGGGCATCACTCCCCACCCACGCCGCACACCAGCCCCAGGGCCCTGCCGCCTCGGCCTCCACACCCATCCTTGCACATGGCAGCTTTGTCTCTGTTGAGAACGGACTCTACACTCAGGCAGGGGAGAGGCCTCCCCACACCAGTCCCGGCCTCACTCTTTTCCCTGACTGTCGGGGTCCCAGGGCTGTGGAAGGACGCTTCGGAGTTCGATGAGAGAGACCATGAGGCCACTGGACTTTCCCCTTCCCTGGCCTCCTGGGCGCCACCCCCTTACTTTATTCTTGGGCCTCCAATAAGTGTACCACGGGTACTTGGCCAGGCCCACCTGCTGCGGATGTGGTCTGTGTGTGTGCATGCATGGGGGTGTGTGGGCACAGGTGTGAGTGTGTGCGTGACAGAACCCCATTCCAGTCGTTTCCTGCCGTGACGAAGTCAGCAACACAGTTTCTCTGACTTGGGCCTTGACTGTGCTGCTTCTTTGGGGGTGAAGAGACTGGGGAGGCAGTCTCCACCCCTGGAGGAAGAAGCCAGGTGAGAACCAGAGTGGGTTGGGGCCTCCTTGCAGGGTTGGAGTTGGCCCAGGGAGAGGGCAGTGTCCCAATCTTAGAGATCTGTCCTGGCTTCTTGGGGTGGCGGGGGGTTGGGGGAGCTTCCTGAGGGACACTTCTAGCTGCCTAGATAGAACTGGGGGGTCCCAGCAGGATGGTTTCTGCTCCAATCCCACCATGTCCTAGGACAGCTGCAAGGGTTCCTGGGGCTTCAGCCTGAGAGAAGTCCTTGTGGTTTGACCTGGCATCCTTCTGCCGGGCTCCCTGCTGTGGCCTGGTCTGCGGTCCTGATGCCCTCCTTCCACAGCTGGTGTCAGGCAGGGGGTGGAGAGTAGGGGGATTCGCCTGAAATCTTCCCTCAGTCACTTCCCCCACCTCCTCTCCGGGCAGGCAGAGGCCTTCACAGACATGGGGGCCTCCCCACAAAATGTTCCATCCAGAGCCGGCCCTTCTGCTTGTGGGCCCCACAGCCTGGGCCTGATGGGGCTTTTGCCACACGAGACAGCGTGAGTGAGAGGGCTCTGGGCTTCGAGACTCCCTAGGAATGTAGCAGGCCCTAGGTGGCGGGGCTGTGTCGTTCTGGAGCCAGGCTGAGGCTGCTGCCCGAGCAGGGGTGAGCACCCCTGGGGAGGAAGGGCACCCGCCCCTCAGCCCCTCCCTGGGACTGCATGGGGGACATCGCAGGAAGTGCCAGCTGCCAATCAGGAACCATGCCCTACGTCCAGCTCAGGGACGGCCTGCCCAGAGGCTGCATCCACCCTCACCACCCTCCGCAGCCCAGCGCACTGCCCCAGGCAGGCCCTGATGTGGCCTTGCCAGGACCCAGCCCCATCCAGTTCCCAGCTCTGCACTATGCTGGAAAGAGGGTGGTTGCAGGTGGTCAGGCCTGCCTTCCTCAGCTGGTGGTCATCCTCCTCCTCCCAGAAACCCTCAGCACTGGCCTAGGCAGCTCAGCAGTTCCTCCAGGACTGGGGGCTCAAGGAAGAGACGAAGGGTTGCTGCAGAGGTCCCCAAGGAGGGTGAGGAAGGCAGTGCCGGGAGGAAGATGACAGGGAGGGAAGGGAGAGAGCAAGAGCACCCTGGACCCAGGGTGGGTGTGAACAGTGGGGCTTGTAAGGTCTCAGGGGAAACCTAAAGGGGATCTCCAGAAAGCTGGGTATCTCTAAGAAGCAGACAAAGGGGGGCCGGGCACGGTGGCTCACGCCTGTAATCCCAGCACTTTGGGAGGCCCATGCGGGTGGATCATGAGGTCAGGAGATTGAGACCACCCTGGCTAACACGGTGAAACCCTGTTACTACTAAAAATACAAAAAATTAGCCAGGCGTGGTGGTGGGCGCCTGTAGTCCCAGCTACTCTGGAGACTGAGGCAGGAGAATGGCGTGAACCCGGGAGGCAGAGCTTGCAGTGAGCCAAGATCGCGCCACTGCACTCCAGCCTGGGCAACAGAGCGAGACTCTGTCTCAAAAAAAAAAAAAAAGGCAGACAAAGGGGGAGCTCTGAGGGACCCCCTGCCAGGGCCACTTGCCCATCACACAGTGGAGGAAGAGTCTCCTGGCCTGAACCTGTCTTCCATAAGCTTAGGAGGCTGCAGCCCAGCCTGGTCCCTCTGGGACTCAGAGCCAAACACCTTGGGACCCAGAAAGTATCCCGACATCCAGCCTGCTCTGTGCTGCCCAACCTCAAGTGTGAGAGCCAGCATCAGCGACAAAGGGCACCCTGAGAGTGTGTGGTGCACTGTGCTGTGGTGCATGGTTGAGCCTGAGACCCAGAGACCAGAGTGCTATTGGTTCAGTGTGCATGGAAATTGAGGCCTGAGGGAGCTGATGTGCTCCAGGGGAAGAGCTGAATCAGCCCAGCAGCAGCACCTGCTTCCCCTCCAGTGGCCCCAGGTGCCCAGGACAAGCCCCAACACCCATGGCCCACAGTAAGGTTTCAGCTTTGAATGGACCTGGGTTTGAATCCTGGGGGTCCCTCCCTGGCCGTGTGGCACCCATGTGGCTCACGTTGAGCATCAGGTACATGAGAAGGGCGAGGAGGCCTGCAGGGATGTGAAGATTGTAAACCAGGAGGCTCCCAAGGCCTGAGCAACTCTTCCCAGATGGTCTTATCTTACAAGTCAGGAGGTGGGTATTTTCAGGATGTCCAATTTGACAGATGTGGAGCCTGAGGTGCAAAGCATTGCCGTAACCCGCCCAGGGGGCACAGGTCTGGGAGGAAGAGGAGTTCTTGGGGAAGGAGGGCAGGGGGCAGGCCTGGACAAGCATGTTCCTGGTGGGTGGAGGCGCAGCTGGCTGATGAGGGTGCTCTGAGAGCAGTCTCACATCTACACCAGGTGGTGTGGCTGACATTGCTCGGGGGCCAGGCCAGATCATGTCTGAAAGGCCTGAGTGTCAGGGCCTAAGTCAAGGGTGAGATACACCATGTTCATATATCACAAGGCTCATTGTTGTTTTGGTGGTGGTGGTTGTTTTTTTTTTTTTTTTGAGATGGAGTCTTGTTCTGTCACCAGGTTGGAGTGCAGTGGCGCA